GGTCTTGGGGGCAGCATTTAAGAAATTGGATAAGAAATTGGGTTTCGGGGGTAGGGGACCCTGAATTTCTTATTTCCTTTTGCTTGCTTTTCGCAGATTTTAGTATAGGTCTGCGCAAATTCAGGGGCTGGTTTCTTAATTCAATGTTTTCTTATTTAGTGCTGGCGCTGTATGCACGAAAAGACAGGTATTGTGATTTTGTTATTCCTATTCACATGACTAGACGTGCGCCTGTTTGTGCTGCATGTGTGTTTGCACCCAGCATGCATGTGTCATGAAACGAGGACCGCTCCAAGTGCAGTATGAACATCGCCTTCGCCACAGAGGTGCCTGAGAGCGTTTGTCAAGCTAGCGCTAGCACGCTAGCAGTGCACCCTTATAGTAGAAGCCCAAAAGTTGGAAGCCCAATAGCCTCAATCCTTGAGAGTAATGTATAGGGAATCCCAGCACGATTTGGCCTTAATCCGGTTTCCAACTCTTTGGGGTTTACTATAAACTTTTCAGCGTCGCTAAGTTGAGAGATCCCTCTTGTGCGTGGAAAAGAAGTATCTCTAGGTCTTGGATTTGCCGGGTTGCAGATGCTTGCGGTGTTTCCAGCTATGGCATGCTCTGCCATTTTTTTTGTGTTGGGGCTTTGCGTCTGGTATGTTCAGGCTGATTGACCGGGTTGCAAGCCGACCACTGACTGCTGCGAGGGCTCAATTTACAACAGGCCTCACGTTGGTAGTGCGATGTTGAGATCTTTCGGTGGAGTATAGCTGTTTGCAAGTTGATGGTGCATGCTGCTGTTGAGTAAAATGTTTGAGACTTGTGAGCATTCATTATTTCACTGTTTTACTACTACTACTACTACTACTACTGTTGCTCGTTTGTTTTTTTGCTTACGGTTGGAGGTACCTCTAGCGTTCGCCAGTCGTAAGACCCCATTAGGGCCTATACTAGGGAAACCCCAAACCCTACAGCCTTAGGGTTCAGGTGTAAAAGGGGTTTAGGGTTGATTGAGGCTCCTTTCAGGGGTACCCGGCAGTTGCAATAGGCCTGGCTGCAAAAGGGTTGATGGAGGATTGTTGAAATATTGAAGTCGTTGAGACCTCCCACTGGGGCGGTGTGACACATGCCAGGCTGAAAACACGCTCTTGGATGACGATGGCTTTATTCTGCCAGACGCCCAGCCGTCACTTCCTGTCGACTCTTGCGAGGTACACCGCTGCTTCTTTAGTGCGTATAAGGTTGTATGGGACAGGCTGGGCTTCTGGGGCTTGTCGTGCTTACCTTGAACCCTGATGTGCTTCACACTACTGGTAGCACACCGCATCAACTGACCAGGCGGGTGTTTCAGAGACAGCAAAACGGCCTGTTGGTTGAGGCGCACGGCGAGACAAGCGTGGTGGATGAACAAGCAGCACCTCGCCCAGACATGAAGATGATGCTGCATGTCCTCAGCTGCAACAGACCACTGGCCTTTAGTTTCTGTCACTATGGGTTGGAGAGAGCCGAGGTCTCTGTTTTTAATTTCCTGACTTGCCCGAAACCTTAAACCCTAAACCCTCAAACCCCTAAACCCTAAACCTTACCCGCTCAAAGAAGACAGGCTCAACATGGAGAGCGAGCCGCAATGCAGGCAACATGTTCAAGCGCATGTGAGACTGAGGCCGGCTGAAATGCTGAAGCACCTGGGTTAAGGATTTAAGGTTTAGCCATCATCAGTCATCAGTTTCATACTATACAACAATGCATAGCCATGCAACTGGTGACGGTTTCCTCACAATAGCCTTCCTTGTCCTGTGCGGCCGATGGACACGTACGGATCTTCACAGATGGGTGGCCAAAGCGAGCTGCCGAATGCTCTGTGACGGTGACTTGGGTAAATGAACTGAGGTGTCTGGGGCTGAATTCCATGATTCTGTTGGCACCTATAGGCTCCACTACACTTCCTTTTTGTGGTTTATATTTAGGATCCTATACGGTAATCCCAAAAAAGAGCTACAACGGAGCCTTTGGGTACATGTCTCAGGGTCCAGAGGATGGGAGCTAGGATTAGGGGGACCCTTGGGGATATAGACCCTCTCAATAAGGTCCCGTTTAAGAGAGCCAAAAGTAGGGTTCAGAAGGGGTGCCCTTTAAGGGGTACCCCTAATAATACTACCTAGAGCAGCGGCAACTGCCCCGTAATTTTCGGCACTGGATCGTCCGAAGGTGAGCATCGCACCCGGAAGCAACTGATCTTGTGGGCCAACTTGTGGGTTTAGGGTTTAGGGTTTAGAGTTTAGGGTTTAGAGTTTAGGGTTTAGGTTTTAGGGTTTAGGGTATCCTTATGCTGGTTGCTGCTTAGAGAGGGGGCTCGACCTAGCAACTCCGGGATGCAAGAGATGTCACATTCTGCAAGTTTGCCTTTGGTCTAACAAACTAGCTCCCCATGCTATTTTGAGAGGGTTACCCCAAAGCCCTACTCTAACTACTAAGGCCCCTAAACCCAAACCCTAAACCCTAACCCCTAAACCCTAAACAAAAACAGCCTCCCCTAAAGCCCAGCCTTTCCGTAAGCATGGAGCCTTCCGAAGTTCAGTAAGTAACGTTGACCCTCGGGGTTTAAAGTTACCCATAGGCCCCATAGTAGTTCCTTTTTGGGATTACTTACCTAATAGGATCCTAAACACAAACCACAAAAACTACGTACTGTGGGGCCCATGGGTAGCTCTCCCATGATTACAAGGATGAGGGTTCTGGGAAGAGAGCTCATGGACCTAAGCCTATGAGCAATTTGTGTTATACATTCGACTGATCTGATTCTCGGGTGTTCTTCCACTGGCTGAGGCGCAAGGCGCGATGCCCGAACGGCCCGAACGGCCCGAACGCAACCTGGCCGGACGCTGCCTCATGCGTGCAGAACACAGATGCTCTTGCGGTATTCTCACGGGTCTCTCTCCCTGTGTCTTGCTGGGCTTGCAAGTATTCCGAAGATTTCTACAAGCAAGAACGTGCGAGCATGCCGATGGGTGTTTCTTTTTTTAATCCGACGTGGAGTTGCCAGGGGTCTCCCTCGTCACCATCCTCCTGAACCCATTGCGTAGACAAAGCCTGGACTGGTTCAGGTGTGTATCTTCACGCCTGAACCTAAACCCTGAACCTAAACCCTAAACCCTAAATTTAAACCCTAAACCCTAAATCCTAAACCAAGCCGCTTCAGCCGATGTTTAGTTGCTGAGAGCTTGTTCCCTGCCAGTCGATCGAGGCCAAACCCACAGTCACGCAGAGGAGGTCATCATCTTCGAGGGGACCTTCAGCTGGTGGGCAGCATGGTGCATGATGAACCCTGGATGATCTTGAGCAGTCTTGATATGTTGAAGGTTTGTGTTCTCGATATCCGAGCAAAGTGTTTTCATATGACGTTTTGAGCTATGAGCTTGCTGGAACAAGCTAGTCCTTCACAGTTGCGACTGCTTTGCGCTTTGGAGTTACGAGTGCATCCAAGGATTTGGGCGCCCCGGCAGCATTTTCTGCATCTGTTCTCTCTGTCTCTCCGTCTCTGTTCATATATACATATGTATATATATATATATATTTATTTATTTATTTATATACATGTGTGTGTTTTTAAGGAACCCTAAACCCTAAACGGTTTGCATGCCATCCTACTTGTCCCAGCACTTCCACTTTGGACCTGGCAGGTGCTGTGCTTCCTGGCCAGTGCTGTCGGAGGCTTAGCTTCGAGGCTTCGAGGGTTTAGGGTTTAGGGTTTCCTTTCTATGTCAGTATTGTATTTAGATGTACCAGGACCCACCCCGCCCCCCCCCCCATGGCCCTTTAATAGAGCCTTATGGTTCTTAATAGTGGGTATTTAAGGGATAATAGAGGGTAGTTGCGGTCTAGGTACAGTATGTGGGGTTTGGCTTTAGTTTAAAATACAATGCATAGGGTCAGATTTCGCTTTTGCATCGCGGATGTGACGGTGAGCTCCTTTAGGTTTTAGGGTTTCCCAGGTTCATACACCGTTGTAGCACTGGAGGCCTTCGGTGACAAGTCTTTGCATGGGGCGCACTCAATCTTTCTTGGCCATTTCCACACGAATGGACCCCGGCAGGAGCATCGCCATGGACTTCTTACGGCCAACACTGAAACTTAAATTCGAAAACCTAAACCGTGCCTGGACCCTGAAGAAACTACTTTCTTCTCAGGGCTTTAGCTTAACACGGACCCTTGTAGGTTATTGGGGTCAATATGGAGACTACCTGGCTATATAAAGAGTATATAAGGAGGTTATTTAAGGTAATGGGATTAAGTGACCCTATTAGGGGTCCCTCCTAAAGTCCTTAGATTTCTAGGGTACCTTGCTATTTCCCTATATATCCCAGATTTTTCAGGGTCCAAATAATTCCTAAACCCTCAGCCCTAAACCCTAAACCTAGAGTGAGTGCCGAAGCCCTAAGCCCGAAAACCCACCCAAAAAAAGCAACTTAGAAGCTGAAGTTGCGGATTTCCGGATCGTCCGCTGCTGAGGTCATGATGGTCCTTTCCACCCGAGGGTCCGCCTTCGAGATCATCTCTGAAGAGATTTCCTTCGTCAAGGCCAAGCGGGGGTTAGGGTTTTAGGGTTTTAGGGTTTAGTTCAGGGTTGAGGGGTTTAGGGTGTAGGTGTTTAGGGGTTTAGGGTTTAGGGTTTAGGGTTTAGGGTTTAGGGGTTTAGGGTTTCGGGTTTCAGGTTTAGGGTTTATGAGGGT